GCCTCTTGCCTCTACCTCCTGAGTGCTGGCATTACAAGTATATATCACCACCAGGAGGCCCTGCTCATTCAACGCAGGGGATAGAACTCCGGGTTTCACATACCATAGGCAAGCATTCTATCAACTGAAGTACATTCTCATCTCCTGAAGCCCTTGAAACAAAACAAACAATCTCAGAGGACACATTCACACAGGATACAGAACAATAGGACACAGAACAAAAACAAGCTCCTGTGAATACAATTCTTATAAACAAAGTAAATGATGACTACCGGTACCATTGTCCAACTCATAAAGAGTGAATTCAGTTTTCACAACCCTTATTGGATTAACAAGTGATGTAAGAAAAACAGGAATTGTCCCTCAATAGAAAAGTATTTAGGCTTTGTTCTACTGGAGGGCAATCTTTTATTAAAGAGTTCTTTACTTTCCTGCTTCTCCCTAGTACAAAGCACTGTAAGTATATATACGCTTACAAATCAGACTGAAATTTTTAAAAAAAGAATATCATAAAAACAATTTCTATTAAAATGGTAAATCATTTTGTTTGTTGATGGTTGGTTTTTTATTTGTTTTTGACATATGGTTTCTCTGTGTAGCCCTGGCTGTCCTGGAACTCACTATGTAGATTAGGCTGGCCTCAACTCAGAGATCCACCTGCTTCTGCCTCCCAATAGCTAAGATTAAAGGTGTGTGCCACTATGCCTAGCTCCAAAAGGTAAATCATTTTTACAGGTAGCATAGGCAAATGTATTTTGCTCATACCAACCTTGCAAAACTGTGGTAACTAGAAAAGAAGCCTACAGAATTAATGTCCCAGCTTGTGAAAAAATAAGATCCTACAAAATAAATATGCCGACTAGAGAGTCAAAAGCCTGTACAATGTTAGAAGCCTTTGTTTGTTTGTTAATAAGACATTCAATAGAATAATGGAGAGAGTTGTCATCACTTACAACCATTGCCAAAGCCTCGTGTGAAGCTAGTCTTATCAGGTAGGAAGGCAAAACTTTACACTTGCTAAAGACCACAGGTGCATATACCACCTGCTTTTGTAAAAGAAAGAAGCCCAACTTAAATTAAGGCCATCAGGAACTTAGGATGTGGCTCAGTTGGTAGAGCAAATTCCTGGAGTGTGATCTCCAGCCCTGCATAAACTGGGAGTGGTGGCTCAAAAGGGAAGGGGAAGACAGAAGGATCAAATTCATCCTTGACTACACAGTGAGTTTGAGGCCAGCCTAGGCTATATTAGTTAGTAGTCCCTGTGTCAAAAATTAATAAATAAATAAAATTAAAGCAATCAGATGTCATGAATCATTGAGTAAAAACAGCCCATAAAGCAGAAAGGATATGTGATAGGTAGGGTTTTAGTTGGGAGGGGGTGGTAGGGGAGGACAGGAGGGAGAAGGGAACTGGAATTGTCATGTAAAACCATCTTGTTTCTAATTCAAATTTTAAAAAAATCTGCAAAAAAAAAAAGAACAGCCCATAAGCTTGTAAAGAGATTTTTTAAGCTGTGGTACAACCACACAATGAACTATTGTATAGCCATTATAAGAAAGGAAATACTGATACATGCTATAGCATGAATGAAACTTGAAAGTGGTGTTTAGTGATAGAAGCCAAATATAAAAGATCTTATTTCATGTGGTTCCATTTACATTGAAATGCTAGAATAGGTAAATTTTTAAAAAGTGAATCAAGTTGGGCAGTGGTGGTGCACCCCTTTAATCCCAGCGCTTGGGAGGCAAAGGCAGTCGGATCTCTGTGAGTTCAAGACCAGCCTGGTCTACAAGAGCTAGTTCCAGAACAGCCTCCAAAGCCACAGAGAAACTCTGTCTCAAAAAAAAACAAAAAAAACAAAAAAAAAAGTCAATCAGTGAGGTAGTAGAAGTGATACCAGCTAGAATACAGAAATTTCTATTGGAGGTAATTAAAATGATCTAAAATTGACACTAATGATAATAGAACATCATCACTTTGTGGATACTCTAGTGATGGCTGGACAACTCTTGTGAGTACAATGAAAGCAGCAAATTGTATACTAACAGATGATTTATATGCTGTAGGTTTTATGTCTCCATAAAAAATAACCTTTGGTGCTATGTTTATGCTTCATAAAATTCAGGGCCATGGAGAGGTCTCAGAAGGTAAAGATTCTAGCCAGGCTGTAATGGCATATGCTTTTATTCCAAGCACTTAGGAGGTAGAGGCAGGAAGATCTCTGTGACTTCAAGGTAGACCTCTGTGAGTTTGAGGTCAGCCTGATCTACAAAGTGAGTTCCAGGACAGCCTGGACTATTTTATTGGAGGGACAGAAACCTTTTGTTGGTTTTTTATTGGTTTTTCAAAATAGGGTTTCTCTGTGTATCAGGTCCTGGCTGTCCTGGAACTCACTCTGTAGATCAGGCCGGTCTCAAACTCACAGAGATCCTCCTGCCTCTGCCAGGCTGTTTATTTTTTTAATTCTTAGAGAGAGAGAGAGAGAGAGAGAGAGAGAGAGAGAGAGAGAGAGAGAGAGAGTGTTTAGGTCAGAGGACAATTTGTGAGAGGCAGTTCTCTCCTTCAACCATGTGGGGCTCAGGATCAAGCTCAAGTCATCAAGATTAGTGGGAAGTGCTTTTGCCCACTGAGTGATTTCACCATACTCCTAGACTTAGGAGACACACAACTAACCTCCACTCTAAAGGAAGTTCATGAATGCGAAACAAAACAATGAAACAGAAGCCATGTGTGCTGGCACACACTGAGGTGAAGTCAGGCAGATCAGGACTTCAAAACCTGCCTCAGCTACATTCAGAAATCCAGACCAACCTGAACTACATGATAATGAAACCCAGTGTTGAGATCAGAATATAACCTACTCTATGTTATTCATATTGTATCAACTGGTTTTACAGGCTGTGTGCTGTCATTTTACAAGCAGCTTTTAACTCCATTTTGAAGAAGGATGACTGCAGCTCCTGGGTGGATCCATAAACTGCATCATCTTTTAGGCTTAAACCATTCAGTACAGACTGATACATGACTTATTCTGGGAAACAGAAAGAGAGACAGCCCTCCTATAAGTTTATTGAGGAAACTTAAAACTGTGGGGGCACATAGTTGTATTAAAACCATGTCAGGAAACCAAACTAAGAAGTTATCAGACATACCAGATTGTGGAAAGCATAATTCCCTCACTTATAAAGTGATGGGCATCTAATACTGCAATGGCATGTCTCCATACCAACCTATCATCTGATACCCAGTGTGTTCATCAAAGGCCAAGGACTCCCGGACTCCTCTTGGTCCTTCACTGTGGATGTTTCCTACTCAGATGCTTTCCCATCTACATGTTCACTCATCTAGACCTGGATCAGCTTCTGACCCACCTCCTGCTTTGTTTCCTGCTCTGGACCTAGTTCGATCTTTTCACCTCTCGGCCGAATTCTGAAGCTTCACTCCCAATGCTGATTCCAGTAGCTCCACCAGCGGCTTAAACTTGGCACTGGTCTGTTTCATTAACTTATCTATACAGACTTCTTCAGCCTACTCTGAAACTTCCTTGTGGATGGAAGTTTCTGTCTGGTCCCAAAGCTGTTCAGTCCCAAATAAACACACAGAGGTTTATATTTAATTATAAACTGTTTGGCCTATGGCTCATATTTCTTATTGGCTAGCTCTCTCTTATTAACCCATTTCTATTAATCTGTGTATCTCCACATGGTCTTGGCTTATGGGTGATGCCCAAACCTCTTGCTTTGGGCAGCTACATGGTGTCTCTCCCTCAACTAACTCTCTGTGTTCCTCTTCCCAGAATTCTCCTAGTCCTGTAGCCCTGCCTATACTTCCTGGCTGGTTCCATCCTGCCTATCCATTGGCCAAAACAGCTTTAGAGAAATATATATCACCTCTTCAACTTTGCTGTAGCCTCTTCAACTTGTATTCCTTCTGTAAACCATATATACATATGGAGGTATGCAGATATATTAATTCTCATATATGATATGAGAATTAATATCAGTAATTAAGATTGGCATAAAGGGACATGGAGAAAGAGCTCAGCAGTAAAGAGCACTTGTTGTTCTTGCAAAGGACCCAATGGCTTCCAACACTCATATCAGGCAGCCCCATAACCACATGTAACTCCAGTTCCAAGGGATCTGACATCTTCTTCTGACTTCCAGGGGCACCTGCACTCACACATGCACATACCCGTGCACACAATTAAAAATAAATCAGCCCAGCAGTGGGAGAGCATGCCTTTAATCCCAGCACCCAGGAAGCAGAGGCAGGGGAATCTCTGTGAGTTCAAGGCCAGCCTGGTCTACACAGTGAGTTCCAGGACAGCCAGGACTTTTACATAGAGAAACCCGGTCTTGAAAAGAAAAAACAATAACAAATAAACAAACAAACAAACAAATAAATAAATAAAATCTTTAAAAGACTAGAATAAAAAAAACCTTGCATTTACCTCAGCCAAGCTACCAACGTAGGCACAAGTAAATTTTATGATGGATTTTTGCCATTGAAACTGTTAAACCTTGTTATTCCATAAATGCTAACATTGTGCAAAGGTACAAATATGTTCATTTAGGTTGCTGGCATAGCACATATATCAGACACTGGTTCAATCAGACAAAAAAGAAACAATGAAAGGGAGTCATTTTCAATGTAGGTCCATGAAGTCAAAACAAAATTTAAATTTGCATTAATGCTCTTGAGAGAACTTTTGCAAAGGCAAGACAAACATAGTATAGCACCCATTACCATTTGATCTCTGGGAAACTATTCAGTGGTTTATTTTGTGCATAACCAATACTCTTTGAAATGAACTTGAATAGGGAGAGAGTGAATGCCTCAAGTGACAGGTCATCGAGAGCAGATGGCTGGGTGAGAGAGTGTCTGGAAAGCTGCTGAAAAGGGTAGTAGGGTTGAGCATTCTCCAGGGGATGGGTCCTGGCACAGCCATATGAACCACCTCTAGTGTCTTATAAAAATAAAACTTCTGGAATACTTACTCAGTATGGAATTTTCAGTTGTGAAAACAGTTCGTCTTAATCCCAGTCTCATTGTTCCTCCCAAGTCACCAGGGTTGTGTTCAGGCATGTCGATTACCTTTAACAAAATAAATCCAGTTTTACCATCTTTCAAGGATGTAATTTCCCAAATTTCCAGCTTTAGTTTTAGAGGATCACTTTTTGGGAAAATACTCCCTTAGAGTAGTGTGTCTAATCAGTTCTCCCAGGGTTCCTGATTAAAATAAAAAGCAGCCACCTGTCACGGCCTTCCTGAATTATAAAAACCTCTTACCTCCAGTTCTAATCTTTCACTCAAGACAGGAAGCTAAGTATGTAGCTTGGTTAGTAGAATTCTTGTCTAGCATGTGTGAAGCCCTAGGTTTGATCCCTAGAACTTCGTAGAAAGAATGGTGGCACATACCTGTAATTCCAGTGCTAGGGAGACAGAGGCAAGAGGATCTCTGTGAGTTCATGGCCAGCTCTGGTCTACAGAGCTAGTTCCAGGCCAGCTAGGACTACATAGTAAAGACAGAGATGAGAGAAGGGAGAGAGAGGAGAGAAGAGGGAGGGAGGGACCTCATAAACCACATGGTGGTGAACACCTACAATCCAATCCCAGCACTAGAGAAAGAAGAGGCATGAGGATCAGAAGTTCAAGATCACCTTTGGCTACATAATGAATTCCAAGTTACCCTGGGATACATGAGACCTGACTCAAAAAAAGAGAAGGAAGGAAGGAAAGAGAAAAAGCAAAAACCAAGAGAGGAGACCTTGGAAGATAATTCATATAATTAAGGTGCCTTCCATGCAAGCATGAGGACTTGAATTAAGATCCCTAGTACCCAATAAAAGTCAGATACGGTTGCATATACATGTGTATAGCCCCAGAGATCTCACAACCAAAACTGTACGAGAATCAATTAGCTCAAAGTTCAGTGAGTAACCTTGTCTCAAAAATAAGAGATCCATTGAGAAAGGTACCAGACATCAATCTCTGACCTCCATATGCTCAGCTATCCAATATCAAGGAGTTATGGCCTCTGTCTGTGGCCTTGCACAAGGTCTTTCCTCCTCATTGCCCTTCTCTCAGAAATCTGCTGCATGCTTCCTTATGAGAAGGGCAGCTGTTACTTTTCTTTACCAGTGTGTTTTTCCAGTCAGTGGAAATGAACTGAAGGAACAAACTGAATCAACAAACCCCAAGAAATCAATTTCAGATCTGTTGAGTCACACCAGAACAACTCAGAAAGATGTTAATGAATAAAATTTGTTTTCATTAACCTGGTAATTCCTTTTCCTCAGTTCTGTGTTGTTTCATGGCTTTGGGATTGTTTGGTTTGGTTTTTGGTTTTTGGTTTTTTTTTTTTTTTTTTAGACAGGGTCTCAATATGTAGCTCTAGCTGTCCTGAAACTCACTCTATAGAACAGGCTGGCTTGAACTCACAGAAATTGGCCTGCCTCTACCTCCCGAATGCTGGGATTAAAGGTCTGTGCCACCACATCCAGCCACATTGTTGTTGTTGTTGTAAGATATTAGATCAGAAAGCAGTTGGATAAGTCAACCTATTGTAATGAAATAGAATTGTAGAAGGCTGCTTATACTCCCACACATACCCTAAAAGCCATATATTGTTCTAAAGGAATCCCTGACAACTGAATTTCCCAAAGGAAAAATTCCTAAGAAAATATCTGATTTTATTAGTGCCCCCAGAAAACGTTGAAGCCATCTGAACCCCGGGACTCAAGCAAGCTCCACGAGTCACTGAGAGGAAGGCCCGGGGTAAAAAATGGATTATATCTCTCATTGGAAGGAGTGCATGATTTCTGAACTGCCCTTAACTGCATGTCTTCCCTATCTTCTTTGGCTGGCTAATGAGGGCTAGATTAAGTATTACTGAGTGAAGTGAGAGAAGGCAGCCTCCACTTTAGGAAGCTAAGCTGCTTATAAATGCCCATGCTCATGTGTATTTTCTAAGAAAAAGCAGGTAAGTTCACAAGAGTTGCCACAGACTACTAAAAAGTTCTATGTCTATTTAGAGCCTCAGGTTCCAACTATGGTGATAAACTCCCCTAGGTTCTTGTCAGAGGTGCACTGCCATTCTTCAGTCAATTTATCCTTATTTACTAAACAGGGTCCAACTACCTAGAGTCTTTGAAGTAAATTGCTTCAGTTATCAGTGACTATGGTAATCAAGAAATATATTGGCCTGAACTATTGAGAACAGAGTAAAAAACTAATTAAGAACAGGATGGGAGAATGCGAGATTGTTCAGCAATTAACAGCATATGTTGGTTGCTCTTACAAAGGACCTAGGTAGTGATCCCAGCACCCACATGATAGCTCACAGCCATCCTTGGCTCCAGTTCCAGATCTGATGCCTTCTTCTAACCTCTGAAGTTATCAGGCATGCATGTGGTGCACACACATACATGCAGACAAAACAATAACACACATAAAATATAGATGAGAGAGAGAGAGAGAGAGAGAGAGAGAGAGAGATTTTAAAAAGAAAAGGGGACTAAGTGATGGTGATGCGTGCCTTTAATCCCAGCACTTGGGAGGCAGAGGTAGGTGCATCTCTGTGAGCTGGAGCCAGCCTGGAAGTTCCAGGACAGCCAAGACTACACAGTGAAACTCATCCTAAAAATATGAAAAGAAAAGAAAAGAAAAGAAAAGAAAAGAAAAGAAAAGAAAAGAAAAGAAAAGAAAGGGGGCAGGTGGTGGTAGCACACACCTTTAATCCTAGCACTCGGGAGACAGAGGCAGGCAGGTCTGTGAGTTCTGTTCACAACCTGGTCTACAGAGTGAGTTCCAGGATAGCCAAGGCTGTAAAGAGAGATCCTGTCTCAAAAATAAGGAAAGAAGGAAGGAAGGAGGGAGGGAGGGAGGGAGGGGGGAAAAGGTTTTTTTTTAAAAGGACAAGAAGCATACATAAATGAGAGTCTATCTCTAAACTTTAAAAAATTTTAAGGTAAAAAAATTTTTAAGGTAAAGCTATTAAATATTCCTCCTGTACCAAGGGAAATTTGAAAAAGAACAATGTAGTAACAATGATTTAGAAACCTGAAGGTAAATACCAGGAGATGGAGGGAGTAGAACTGAGGATGTCAAAGAAAGGGTTGAAGATTGCTGACTTTTATTACAGACCTTTTGAAACTGTTGACTCTGACCACTGTACAATTTTAATGAAACAAGTTAAAGGCACAAATGTATTACTAATGCTTTATAAGGGTACTAGTTCACACTGTCTATGCCATGTTCAGAAATAGTTACTGTGGCCTTCTCCTGAAATGATAACACATAAAGAAGCAGTACACTTAAAAGATCCATGATGATCCTCCAGTTAGGGGCCAGCAGCGAGATGCCTCAGTGAATAAAGATACTTGCCTAAGGATCTGAGTTCAATTCCCAGAACCCACGTGGTGGAAGGAGAAAACCCATTCCCACAAGTTGTTCTCTGACCTATATTAGTGCACTATGGCACACACACATGATTTTTTTAATGTGCTAGCTAGAAGAGCTACAATAGTATGACTTATCTCCAAGAGATACCCATTGGTGCAAAAGTGGCACAAATGTTATGAGAATAACCAATCACTTTTTTATTGGATTTATGGTTCACACCATGATATGGAAACCTTACCTAACACTTTTAATGAGGCCAAGAACCTGGGACTAGGTAGGTTGTGGGTCAGAGGGAAAACCTACTGCTATTATTCAGCTAAATAAATATAGTAGCAAAACAACTTTTCAAAAAATTTAAAATATTTATTTATGTATTTATTTATTTACGTTTTTTGAGACAGGGTTTCTCTGTGTAGACCTGGCTGTCCTAGAACTTGCTCTGTAGACCAGGCTGCCCTTGAACTCACAGAGATCTGCCTGCCTCTGCCTCCCAAGTACTGGGATTAAAGGTGTGCGTCACCACCACCTGGCTACAAAACAATTTCTAACGACTTATTGCTATACCCATAGATCAGAGCATCACTCAACCCTCATCAGAGATGCTTCTTTCCATAGGTGGTAATTAACACAGAGACCGATAACTGGTCAATATGCAGAGACTGAGAAACTTTGTAGTACAGTGGTTCTCAACCTTTCTAATGATATGACCCTTTAATAAAGTTCTTTGTGTTGTGGTGACCCCCAACCATAAAATTATTTTTATTACTATTTCATAACTAATTTTTGCTAGTCATGAATCATAATATAAATATCTGTGTTTTCCAGTGATCTTAGGAGATCCCTATGAAAGGGTCATTTGACCCCCAAGGGGGTCATGACCCACAGGCTGAAAGCCATTGTTGCAGCACTTGACCCAAAATGAGATGCTTTTGTCATGCCCTTCCTGGAAACCCTCAAGGAACTATGGAGGAGGCAAAAAGATTGTAAGAGCCAAAGGTGGTAGATAACTCCAAGGAAACAACATTTTCCATGCAAAACAGGGCAGAGGTACATAAGAACTCACAGAGATTGTGACAGCATACACAAAACCTGTGCAAAGTTCAAGCCAGATAAAACCCCAGCCTGGAAAAGAGAATGTCAACATGAAGTCCCATCCCTAACCAAGAAGCTATTTGCAACGGATAGCTACTAGGAGAGAGAAAACTGGTTTTCTTCAATGGAGTGACAATGGTTATGTCAACCATATTCAAGAGCAGGCCTAATACTTAGGAGTAGTTGGTCAACATAAAATGGACTCCATGTTTGTGTCTATGCTTTTTTGTTTATTTTAAGAGAGAACATTAATCTGTGTGGAAGGGACAATATGAGAGGATTTGATGGAGGAGAAAAATATGATCAAAATATTATATTAAGTTTTCAAAGAAGAAAATCCCCATTTTAAAAATGTGCTAGATAGAAGAGAATATGAAGGTGGAAGGGGGAGTGTGGAAAGGAGGATTGGGGTTGGATGTGATCAGGATACATTGTGTATATGTATGAAATTGTAAAAATACTCTAAAGAAGATGTGCTAGCTAACACAGGTGTCAGTGGAGAAGAAAGATATTGGAGATGGGAGAACAAGGGAAACAGATCCCAAGTTCAAATGACACCCAGAACAGCAGGGAAAAGAGAAAAATGCAATGAGAACCTG